TTAAGAATATGTTTCCTCCTACCCTGGAATTCCTTTTAGTTACCTCAACCTACACATCAGTTAATTTTGATCCATATAAACTTCCAGAATAATATGCAGAACGAAAGATCAGAGCAATAAAGGGAAGCATCCATCCCTCAAATCCCACCAAGAGTACTATACTCAGCAGTCCTCTTCGGTGAGCAGCCATGAAGTGAGCAGTGCTTCTGCTGAGTCAGCTACGCAGAGGAACCACCACCTGGTGGAGACTCAAAGGTGTATCTGAACCAAATCCCTCTCCTTCCCAAATATATGCCAGAGGAGGGTTTCCATTGTTGGGCTGGAGGGAGAAGGGGAACACTGGTTATAATCCCCTTCAACTACCTCTCTTCCTCAATTCCACAAGTTGAAAAGGAGAGTAGGTGTAAGAGAGTGCAGGCAGCAAATTGTATACTTTCTGACCAGTTATTCTCTCCTCAACAAGATTCAATCTAACTTAACTATTCTAAGCAACTAAAACTTTAATTGAATGTTACTGATCACTTGCTATTGGACAAAGGAGGTTGTATGAATTCTTATCCTCCCCAGTCTATGCACAGCATTCAAAACTCTCCAGACAACATTCTCCTGATTCTCCATTTTATTGCCTTTACTTTCCCTTCTCTATTTAAGTGACATCCTTAATTCTCCTGCTAATGAAAGAAAATGATTCCCTGATCTTTTCTCTCCATATATTCTCCCTCAACAATTAAATCCATTCCCATGGTTTCTATTTTCTTAGTATGTATCATCTGAAAACATCTCTTTCTCCCTAACCTCATTCCTGATTTCAAGCTCCATGGTCATTTCCAACGGCTTAAATACCCTTGTTTCATTATATATATTATATGTAACATATATAATTACACATATATTATATATATAATTAATCATACATATAAAAAAACTTTTATGTCCCACCTCTAACTATTAAGGACTTCATCATTCTCCTAGTCACAATGCTGGCAACCAGTGTCATATTTGTTCTAAATATATTCAGCTCCTAAATCTGATCAATTCTACCTCTATGTCTCTCCTATCCTCTTGTATTTCTATGACCTCTACTATAATTCAGATTTTTACCATTTTCCACATAGACTACTCCAAAGACCTCCATAATTGGTGTCTTTTTCTAGTCTTCCTGTTGCTAATCTAAGGCACATTCCATTTCATGGGTTCTTTGATGAAAAACGTTCAGTGAGTTCTCACTGGCTAACAAATTAAATACTAACTTTAGGCTGGGAAGCACTCCAGGCTATAGATTTCACCTTTCTTTCCATTTTGTCTCCTACTTCTATCTATCTATCTATCTATCTATCTATCTATCTATCTATCTAACCATCTACCCATCCATCCATCCATCCATCCATCCATCCATCCATCAATCCATGTTGGAGCCAAGTGGACTTTACTGCATACTTTGGGGTTTATGAAGTTCCCCCTATCTAAAATACCTCATCTTTTCACCAACTTTACACCCATTCTTCAAAGTTAAACCCAAATGCCATTTATCTAAAGAACTCTCACACCTTCCCAACAGATATTTTACTCCCTTCCTTAAAACTTTCTGGAATTTTATATGCACTTCTGCATCTTTGTGTGTGGGCATGTTCAGAATTTACTATCACTTAAAATTGCTTTTACCTAAGATCTTGAGCTCTGAAATCTCCCATACCAGTGAAATTTTCCTTTCTTCCCCTACTCCACTGATTCTACCTTGGGCTCAAAGCAATTTTTGACTTTTTAATAAGTAATAATCTATAATACAAAGCTATTCCCCTAATCTATTGCTTTCTTACATTATCACTTGGTCATCTCTCCATCCTAAATCCCCACGACAGCATTTTAACAATAAGGGTACCCATCTCCACTGGGATATTCCAGGCACTTCAGATTCAGCATGATGGAAACTAAATTACCTCCTTCCACACAAACTTACTTCTCTATTACTCTCTAAACTAATTTAAAAAATCTTGATTCTTCACTCACTGCACACATTCAATCATTCAAGATTTACTGAGATCATCCTTAAATCTATGAACTTTGTCCCCAAACTCATTGCCAATAAAGATCTCATCACTATTTATCTATTTATTGTTTGTTTATTTTTGAGAGAGAGACACACACACACAGTGTGAGCAGGGAGGGGCAGAGAGAGAGGGAGACACAGAATCCAAAGCAGGTTCAGGCTCTGAGCTGTCAGCACAGAGCCTGACGGGGGGCTCGAACTCATGGACCATAAGATCATGACCTAAGCCAAAGTCAGACACTTAACCCACTGAGCCACTCAGGTGCCCCTCATCACTATTTACTTAACTAGTCCTTTCTACCTCAGTAGTCCGACCTCCAATTTGTTTTGTTACAATAATTAAATAATCTTTCTTAAATACATTGATCTAAAAGTGCCACACTGTCCAGCTTAAAAATCTCCCTGGACTCTAGATTTCCTATAAAACAATAAACTCCCAAGCATGGCATGCGATCGTATTATCTGCCCATTCTCCAAACACAGATCCTAAGTTAAAGACACTAAAATACACTGTCTTCTGCTTTCGTGCAATCACAATTCCATGGTTTTGGAAACAGTTCTTACACAAGTCTAGTTCATCTATTCTGCGAAGTTACATTAGATTTCCCCATATCCCCACCTCCCATCTACAGCACCTTCTTCATTAAAGTAACAGACCTCTTATCACACTATATTACACATATGGCCAATGATCTTCCTCCTCTAGTCTGTGGGCTCTTTGAAACAAGCATGTTTTATTCATCTTTATGTCCATGGTATCTAGTATGGCACACAGAAAGTTTTCAACAAATGTTTATGAAATAAATAAATCTAAATTTGGAATGTCTAAAATCAATCCACCCTGGGTATTTTATCAACTAATTTACAGTAGAAATGGTAGAAAAGTGAGATGGCTCCTAAATATATGGATAAAATGAAATGTGAAGGTGACTCCAGGACATTTGTGTCAGTTCTAGAGGTTAGGGCAAGAACAGAAGAGCCACTGAGGTTATGTCCTCTCTTCTCACTGCTTTTCCCCCAGACTATAGAGCTATTTGAGGCTAACAGGACTATAGGACAGAAGCAATCAAGACAGCAGAGAACTGTAGGGAGTGAGGGGGTAGAAGCAGTGAGGAGGAAAAAATAAAAATCCTAAACTGAAGCTGCAGAAAGGTTAGTGTTCAGGGTCATAGACAACAGACGCAGGGCTCCTTCATGACTGCTCACCCTCATCCCCACTACTGTTTTCACTACCCTCAGCTACAAGGACCATTTATTGGTCACTTACCCACAGAGGCCAGAACTGTGCCAAGAAGTACCACACATACCATTTAATGTTCATGACAACCCTATCAGAAAGGTATAATCCACAGTTTAGAGACAATGGAACAAACCTAAAAACAATGAACTATACTGCCCCAAGTTTGTAGCTAGTATGTTAAGTCACAGAATGTGAACAAGGATCAGGTTCAAATCCCATTCTATTTCGGTTCTACTATGCATGTGATGGGGTAGAAGGGTGTACATATGTTAGGGACCGGCTTTACTGCTTTGCATTACTCAGTTATCTTTGTAAGCACGTGTTGTTGTTGTTGTTTTTTAAGATAATTTATTTATTTTGAGAAAGAGAGAGAGAGAGAACGGGGGCAGGGCAGAGTGAGAGAGAGAGAGAGAGAGAGAGAGAGAGAGAGAGAATCCAAAGCAGGATCGGTACTGTCACCACAGAGCCCAATGTGGGCTCAATCTCACACACCACGAGATCATGACCAGGGCCGAAATCAAGAACTGGATGCTTAACTGACTGAGCCACCCAGGCGCCCCATGTAATCACATGTTTTATTTTCTCTAGTACTAGGAAAGGTATTTTTGAGGGTAGAATCTAATATTTTAATTTCTTTCCTAGCATCTCATAATGAGTTTTCTGTATAGTAATCACTCAGTATTTGATTCATTTCTTACTATAAATTGTATACTAGTAGAAATAAAAAGAAGGCACATCAATCATCAGTTAGCATTAAGCCAATTTTACTTTTCTTAAAGATGCTTTAGGCCCTTTGACAACTCTATGTGCTGGGGTAAGACTTTAAGGAATCAGAATAATAGGCTCTTAAACACAAAGCACAGCTATAAAATTAAAGATAGTTTGTGTCTGATATAATAATTAAAATGCCGTCTAAGCTATATTGTTCTTTTCCTCATATCTGGGTATAAAGATAAAATTACTAGGAGTAGTCATACATTGTATGAAGCATGTGAGCAACCTACCTAAAATGTGAAAATAAACATGCTTCAATTAATGGCAAGACCTCTTTTATTTCCCTTATAGAAAGATGTAAAAACGTGTTAGAGTGGACGTGTATGTCCTACATAGGTTGAATTTTAAGTCAATGCCAGTACATGAGGCAAAAATCAATTAGAGATAAAATAATCCTCGAAAATCCCTTAAGTTGCTCTTAAGCAAAGTATAGCACAGTACCAGCTCTCAATAAATCCATCTCAGACACTTTTTTCCCCCTGCACAGAACAGATCACCACTTCTGCTGTGTGCCACGAGCATCTGGCTCCTGTTTAGGTGCCATACTCAATGAAAGAGCGTGCATTTACACTCCAGGATCATGGCCAGCACTAGGAGATCCTTAGACTCTGTCAGTTCCTCTAACAGGTATCTGGGGACTGATTCCACGTGACACAAAGCAGATTTGAATCTTCTACCTCACGCTTGCATTGGGACAAGAGAGACAGAATTACTACGGTCTTTAAATTACTTGGCGTTTTGCTTTTAGGTGTTGTGGGTTTTGGCTTCGGTCCAGAGATCTGGATTTCAATAGATTTACGTTCACAGAAACGTGACTCTGTGAGCTATCTCTTGTTTATCGTGCAGCCACAGATGCCTAGAATTTTAGGCACAAATAATCCAATACCACAGTGTATGAGCCAAAAAAAATAAATAAATAAAAGAAGCAACCTATCTTACCTTCATCTATCGATGCCTCACTACTGTAGCCGTCATACTCCGCAGACAGAGGACTGTACTTCTGTCTTGTTTCCCAAGCGTAGTTCTTTTGTCTCGAATCTGCCAATGGAAGTCTGGAATTGTGTGTTCTGGACAAGGCCTCATGGTATTTACCCAGCGCTTCATCTTCACTTTCAGAGGATGAACCGTGCTCATCTTTGTCCATGTAGGAATTATCTATTTGGAGTGACAGGGAGAGCAAATCAAAATTTTAATACCATAAAGTATTATGAATTTGATATATGCACACACACGCACACACATATGTGCACAGATGTTATGTCACATATATCCATATACACACGAATATACATATACATACACAATCTGAATTTTCAGCTTTAGAGAAGTATAACGTTTTCACTTAAGAACCCGAAGGTTTAGGTTTCCATGTTTTTAATAGAAAAAGATCAACCTGTATATTCTAATTATATAATAATGTTGCAGGGATTTTCCAACCAGGTTACAGATAAAGGAAATAACAGAGCCTGCCACCTTACACAACTTTTTTAAAGGGTCAGTTGCACACAAAGAAACTCAGAAGTACTGCTGGTACATATGGGCCTGATTCAAAGAATTCATGTCACAAGAGACACCCTGGTCATTTTGGTCCAAGTTTTCAAAAATGATAATCCTTAGCGCCAGAAGTACAACAGAGAAATGGGCAGATGTATACTATTGGTAGTATTCTCATTGGTACAACGCTCCTAAACAGCAGTTTGGCAATACATATCCAACTTTTAAATCTGCATAGTCTTTGATTCATTTCTAGGAATTTACCAATTCTATTTCTTTTTTTTTTTTCAACGTTTATTTATTTTTGGGACAGAGAGAGACAGAGCATGAACGGGGGAGGGGCAGAGAGAGAGGGAGACACAGAATCGGAAACAGGCTCCAGGCTCCGAGCCATCAGCCCAGAGCCTGACGCGGGGCTCGAACTCACGGACCGTGAGATCGTGACCTGGCTGAAGTCGGACGCTTAACCGACTGCGCCACCCAGGCGCCCCTTATTTCTAAGAACTCTAAGAAAATAACAGGTGAGCAGAGATATGTACTTCAGACAATTCGTTGCACTGTGTTTAACAGCAACAGAAAACAAAAATAAAACATAATCTAAAAGTCCATCCCTGGGCCTCGGTTAAGTACATTATGATAAATCCATACAATGATATACTATGCAGTCACTACAGATTAGGAGGTGAACTTACAAGTACTCACAGAGAAGAATAAATACAACATCATGTTAAGAAAAAAGAGGTTATAAGACAGAAGGCATACCTATGTCTTATTTAAAACACACACACACAAACTTCTACATGTAATATACACACACACATGCAGTGTATGTTAATATGCACATATAAAAATATGTGGAAGGATATACACTGATTTTCTGTGAAAGGTAGAATTACTAAGAAAATTTTACTGAAGTATATTCAAATGCAAATTTCAGGCCACACAAAATTTATATCATTCCTTAAAAAACTAGTTATTACCATTTTTTAAAGTAAAAATTTTGAAACTGTACTATGTTGGGGTTCATTTAAACTAAGATGCAACCTTCTTAGAATTATAAAACATCTCTGGAAAGACAAAGAGACCACAGCAGGTAGAATTTATTAGGTCAGTCTAGATATTTTTCTCTTTATACTCTGCTCAGATCATCTGTAGTAAAGGAATCAAGGTTTGACATTCAAGTGGGGAGACACAGACTAAGTAATTTAAAATACGATAGAGAGATGGTATGTTTAGAGTCAGAAGTAAGGGAGCTTTGATGTCACTAGTCCAAGTCTTCCTTTTCAGTCAAGAGAAAACCATGAATGGCTAAAACTATAAGCACTGTCGTATTCTGCACTGGCCAAAATGTCGTCACTAGCCACTAGCCACATGCAGCTATTTAACATAATACAGTTTAAAACCCGGTTTCCCAGTGCCACCAGACACGTTTCAAGTGCTCAGGAGCCATGTGTGGCTAGTGGTTACTACACGGACTACATGGAACGTTTCCATCATTACAGAAAACGCTACTAGATGGTGCTGAGGTGATGGCTGATCTGGTCCAGAACCTGGGAATTCTGACTCCCAGTTGAGAGCTTTTAGCACTTTGTGGGATTGTGGGATACCATGGTGGTGGTGCTCTAAGGCTGCAGAGCTCTGAGGAGGGTCACCAGAAATTCTGCAGTCACACTTCACCTATCACAAAATATTACCTAAAGTAACCTCGTATTCAGAAACAGAAAAGGAAACTCTTCCTTCTCTTTCTATACCCTATAAGCTCTATGAAAGAACCTAAAATGCAGGTACTAGTAATTTTGATATTACTCTCAGTGTTAACTAATAATATTACAGTTCAGCTATATGAAGAGGTAATCTATGGGTCAAAAGATTTTCAAATGATTTTTAGAACATAGTATGTTTCGGTTTAGGGGTGCCTGGGTGGCTCAGTTGATTAAGTGTCTGACTCTTGATTTCAGCTCAGGTCATGATCCCCAGGTTGTGGGATCAAGCCCTGCACTGGGCTCTGCATTGAACATGGAACCTGCTTTAGAAAAGATTCTCTCTCTCTCTCTATCACTCTGACTCTCTCTCTCTCTCTCTCTCTCCCTCTGCCCCTCTCCCCCACTCATAGTCTCTTTCTCTCTCTCAAAATAGAAAAAAAGAAAAAGAAGAAGAACACAATATGATTAAGTTTAGTACTGACTATCATCTAGAATACCTGAGAGATACTTGGGTGTTTTAGGTACCAGCATGCTTCTGAATGAAAACAAATCAAAACAAAATTAACTCTGTACTGTTACTTGTGTAGCATTTATTACTAGTGTCTATTCTGTTATTTTCTGAATAAAATATGTAAACTATTCTATTTTACTTCTTTGCTTATTTCTGCTACGGTAAGTAAGAAGGCTAACAAAACAAAACAAAGGCTACCCAAAACTACTGAATTTGACAATCAAAAATCTGCTAGAAGAGTAGACTCCAAAATGGACGTATTTCCAAAAACTGGCTTCCCTTTCTAACTAGTCTAGCCATCCTGGATCGGCCTCTATTATATCAGTTAAGGACCATTAATATAATTGATAAATAGCAGATCCCGATTGTGTCTGATGTCCTGTAGCAGAACCGAACGTCTTCCTCACGGCTACTGCCACTCAGATTTTTGTTATTTTGTGAGAATCTAAATTTATTTTTTAAAATGTCAGATAATATTTTTAAAATAAAAGCCAATGTACTTTTGGTCAGCAATAAATGGAAATGACAAAGGGATTTTACCAGAAGCAATTACCAGCAGGTGCAGAGCAATTCTGTACCCAAACCAAGTCACCGTCAGCTCCTTGTTTTGAAAACTGTCACAAATACTGTGGCTGAAAATATAAATGCTTAGCTGGAATCTTAATTCTACATAGAGAACTCATGAAAAATAATAGATTATTCACATATACTCATTATAAACACAGAAGTCATATACAATTCTTAACATGTGGCTAAATGAATGGACCTATTCTGAAGCCTGTTATGCAATAAAATAAACTCTACTGCTCTAAAGGAAAAATATAAGATACTTGATATCCCTCCATCACTCAAGATTCTTATTGGGAATGACTCGAAGAGCAACACAGTATAAAGGTCTCAGGGGTTAATTACAAAAATATAAAATGTTAAAATTCATTAAATAAGTTCCAGCTAAGTAAAGAATGCACACTACTTAAGAAAACTATGGAGTTTCAGGTTGTATAATAAAGAAACATTAAGAAAAATTAGGGCCACTGAAGAAGTGGCCAAATAATGAAGGGACCAGGACAATACTTAACTTAGCAGTGTACAAAGAACATGAATGCTTTCAAAATAAATGATCTCCCAAAAAAAAAAAAAAAAAAAGGATGACCTTAAAAGTGTCTCTCAGTAAGAGGATTCAGGAAAATCTTTTTTCTTTTAAGTATATTCATTTCTTTTGAGAGAGAGAGAGAGAGAGAGACAAGCAGAGAGAGAGAGAGAGACAGAGAGAGAGAGAGAGAGAGGCAGAGAGAGGGAGAGAGAGATAACTCCAAGCAGGCTCACACTGTCAGTGTGGAGCCTGAAGCAGGGCTTGAACTCATGAACTGTGAGGTCATGACCTAGGCCAAAATCAAGAGTCAGGCGCTTAAATGACTGAGCCGCCCAGCTGCCCCCAGGAAAATCTTCAATTAGATCTATAGACATGTAGTGGAAAGTTTGGAAATTTGGATGATGTTTTCTTAATTTAAAAAAAAATCAAGAGAAAATTTTATCACTCAAACCCACATTAGGAGGAGACCTCACCTTTTCTTGGTATTATCTTAGAATATTTTTCATCTTTACTCTTTGCTGTTCCTTTGTTGGCAGAAATGGCTTCATTTTGCTTTGTTTTTATGTCTCCTTTCACTTTGTAACACGTTGTTGGATTTATTTGTTCTTTGTGTTTTCCGTGTAACTTATCTTCGGAATTTGCTGATGGTGCTGGATATATGTCTTCTTTGATGATGGGTTTCTGTATCGTATGTCTGTTGCTTGCCAAAATATCTTCTGGAGAACACTCATTTCCTGACCACTCATTCCCTTTGGATCCTTTACTTTTAATACGTTTTTCAGTCTTCTTTAAAAGATTTTCTTTCATTTCTTGATCTCTTACCTCCTTTAAATCATTCTTACCGTCATCAGGAATTCCTAATCCATTTTTTTTATATCTGTCAGTACTTTCAAGTTCTTGACAAGCAGGTATAGCCCTTGCATTCTGTTTGATAATTGATACCCCTCCATCACTCAAGTGCCCTTCCAAAGAAGAATCACCACCAGCATTGTTACTTTCTTGGTATTTGGACAGAGTCTGTTGCCTATCATTAACACGTTTAAAAATTCTTTCTTCGTTTATCCCTTGCTCTTGCTTTTGTGAAACTGAAGTATTGTAACAACTGATCTGATTTGCTCTGTGCTCTAAACTAGACTGTGTTTTCTGACAATTATTGTCTTTGGAGACTTGTGGTGACGTGGCAGTTGCTGGCTTAGCAGTATCTACAGCTTCTGCTACTGCAGAGCTTTCTTCTTCTGGGCGGAAGCCACTGATCATACTGGTTACCTGTTCAGCCACTGAGTCAGTGAAAGCATAGCTGACTTCTCCAACAGCAGCAGTCAAATCTTCTACAGCATTACTGATTGTGTCCACCAGAGAAGACACTGAGGGCAGATTCTGCTGGAAATTTTTGAAAAATGCCATTTTCTAATTCTTTATTCCTAACAGATGCAATAATGGAATTTTCTCTTCTCGAAGTATCAACCACTTTGGAATGTAAATTTAAAATTTACTTAAATGTTGTTACTCATGAGCTCAATATTATTATTTTGCATTGTAGCGTTTAATCTTTCTGTAAATGCATTATGCATTGAAAGAAATATGTTGAAGCAAAGACTCTTCCAAAAAAAAAAAAATCAAACCACTTGTCTTAAATGTAATGAAATTTTTTCCCACTCCATAGCTATCATAACAGCAGCAAGACAATAATTTCCCCTCAAACACTATCGGTTTTTATTCTATACCTGCAAGAAGAAGTATAAAAAGGATTTTTATTATGGACTTTTAGTTTATTTATTAATAGTCTATGCAGGGGAACTACCCTATATTATTAACAAACTAGCAATATCATTTCAAACTAACAAATATATTATAGGGAAAATACCTACATAATTTGCACAGAGGTTACAATAGAGGAGAGAGCAGAGGGTGAACATCTGCTGAATGGCTACCAGATGCAAGGCATTGTGATTTACAAGTTTATCTCCCCTGATCCCACAATAATGCTAGGAGGTAAATATTATTATTCTTATTTAATAAGTAAAAAAAAGAAGGTTCAGAAAAATTAAGAAGGTTCCCCAAACCTTTCCAAGGGATCCTCAAGGTAAAAACTATTTTTATAACAATAAAGGGATATTTAACTTTATCACTTTCATTTGCTCACAAATGAACACTGGAGTTTTCCAGAGGCTACATGACAGATTGACTACAGAAGCAGACATGAGAATAACAGCTGTTTCTTCTATGCCAGTCATTTAAAGAGATTTGCAAAAAAATATAAAACAATGGCACTCTTCTCACCATTGGGGGTGGGGGAGTAGAAAATATATAGGTTTTTAAGTTAAAAAATGTTACTTACGTTTAACATGTATGTAATAGCCTTACTGATTTTTTAAACAAATAAACTGATAAGAATATTTTTAAATTTTCTCAGTTTTACCTTCTAATATGGTACATATTAATAGATATAACTCACATAAACAAAAGCTGTTTATGAGTGTTTAAGAGGGTTAAGGGGTCATTAGACCCCTCCCTCAAAAAACAAAAACAAAAACAAACAGAAAAACAGAAATGCTGAACCAGGGAATTCTTGGAGGCTGCCCAAAGGGCTATCTCTAAACCAGTTCATTCTATACACATGATCCAAAAGCAAGGTTGAAGTATGAGAAACACTAAACTTAAATCAAAATCACCTAAAGTACTATAGTTTCCCAATGCAAAAGTCACAGATTTAATTCCATAACCAATAGGCTGTATAAACAATGATACTACTGCTTTTTAAGTTACCAGAAGAGAAAAACATCTCTCCGACACAGTGCATAGACAAGAAAGGCAAGGTTTTTCTGCTAATGCTCTGCAACACTGTTCTAAATTAACACCTTGCTTTTATAATTCGCAGCTTGCTTCTGCTATCATTTAAATAAGCCAGTCTCTGGAAACAGCAAATAAAGAACTCTTACAATAATATTTAAAAAAAATTAACACCAGGGAACACTTTGCATGAAAGAAAGAACAAGATTACAGGCCTCTGCTAACACCTAGCAGAAGTAAGTGATATAACGTGATATAATGCCTATAGTACCAAGGGAGGGAGAGGAACCCTAATTTTTATAACCAGACTTTATCTATACACTAGGCTGACAGGCAAAACTGCTTTCTCCAAACAATAAAATTATCCACCAGCTGAGAATTCAACAGCAGATAAAAAAGGGTGAATTCTTTCAAAACTCTTCTGAGGACATAGAGAAAAAGCCTCTCGAGAGAGTTATTTGGACAGTACGATTCAAGCTACGATTTAAGCAAAAAGATACTCCTTCTTAAAGCATATCTACTCATAGCAGAGGCTCAAGAGCATGCCTTACATATGAAAAATAAAAATGTCATTTTCTGATAGTATGCAGTTCATCTTTAACCAATATGCTAGCAATTCATGAACAACAGAAAGATAATGGAACATAATTTACTTAACAAATGTTTTCCTCACAGAAAAGTGCTCAAATGTTAGTTTACAATGTCAAAACCAACCTTCTCATATAGATTTAAAAAAATAAAATAACAGAATGGCACAGGAAAAAAGAACAAACAAGAGAAGCAGCGATGATACTTACAAATTTTATCTTGTGAGTTCTTCCTTGTACTGTATCCTGAACCAAGATCTGGAAACCCGCCAACATTTTCAAAACAGAACTTCTTATTAATATAGAGAAAAAGGAGCAGCATCAAGATAATAAACACCCCAACAGCTGACAAAAATCCAACTGCCTCTGGAGATACTAGAGAAAAAAAAGTCACAGCTGTAAGCATTTATTCCTCTTTAAGCTACAAATAAGAAGGAAACCCCCACACATATGTTAGATTACTGCCTTATTTGAATTATACTTTTTTAATTGTCATAGTTCACACAGGTTTACAAGAAAAAACAAACTGCATACTTTAATGAGCTGTTCAATTCATTCAACAGTATTTATTCAAATCTAAACGTTTCTGCATAAAGTATGTTGGAACACTCTTAAAATACAAGAGTCTGTAACATAGGCAGCTATATATTTATCCATTTAACAGCATTACAAAAATTTTAACCCAAGAATTAGAAAAAAGTATTTCCCATGCATGGGTGTATTACTTAGCGAAATTTATGAGAGCATACAGTAGTAGTAAAATCTCGAACAGCTTCAATGGCCCATTTTATTTAATAAACTCTAGACTTCTTAACTTAGCATTCAAAGCTCCAGCCTCTCTTTTCAATATCACACTCCATTCAAATTGTTCCACTCACTGCCTCAAAATCAACTATATGCGTTACCTCACGCCTTGTCTTGGTTCATCCTCTTCCCTTTGCCTGGAATGACCAAGTCTCCTTTCTACCATATCCCACTCATTCATTCCAGTCAACAAATATTTTAGACTAGCAGCCATACACCAGGCATTATCACATACACAGTTTCTGTCTTCCAAGAACAGTCTGGTGAAGGCAGTTACAACGTGGTGTAATAAAGACTATGAGTGGGGAAGAACAGGGTCTATGAGACCAGAGAAACACAAGCCAGTGTTGAAGGATCCAGTAGGCTTTTCTGAAAGTTATGGCCTCTATGATTATATTGTAAGAATAATAAAGAGTTAGCAAGTTAACACCGTTCCAGACGGAAGAAACAGCAAGTGCAAAGGTCCAGTGACAGGAGATACTGTATATTCCAGAAACTCAATGAGAAACTTTGTTATGATAAACCAGATTCTCAAGAGGATCTGATCTCAAGAGAATTCATGAAATCATACATGGAGATTTTGTACAGTAAGAACAAAAAAATCTCCGACTTCTCCAACCCTCAGCAATCTCTTTCAACATTTGCATTATCTGTCACTATACCAGTCATTTGGAGTTTAAATAGAAACTAAATTTTTCATCCCTAATGCCTTATATCTAATACTCAAGTACTAGCTGAGAATGAATCCTAAGCCTCGACTATCCTGTACAACCTATAATCTACTCTTTCTTCTTCCACTACTCAAGCAGCAGCTAAAATGTCATCTCCTCCAAGATTCATTCTTTAATCAGAAGAGCCACGGCAATTAGCATCTATAACTCATTTGTTTAAAATGAAGTCACCAACCAGTCTAATGATGAGTGTTTTCACCTCCTGGCTTTTCATTATTTGTGAAAGTCAGCCATCGCAGGTGTAGAAATGATATCACATTATAGTTTATTCAAAGCTGGATCAACCGTATTGTGATAGAGGATGGAGCAGAGTGACATTATAAGGGAAAAGGTGAGAGTCTGAATGGGAGAAATGCAGTCCAAATATCCAGCCCAGGAACAGATCCTGCTACAAGAACCAAGAATTTATGCTCAGACATTAGCCCTGGCTGTCTCATTTTCAGGCTAGAGAACAGTCAGGAAAGGGAACAGGATTTTAATTTAAAACTCTAAGCTATATTAGCAAAAACAGTGGTGTGCGTTAAGCCTGAAGGATGAGGTAAAAATGAAAAGAGAAGAATTACCACCAGCATTTCTAATGGCTAGGAAAGCCAGAAGCAGGACAGCATCCGGTATGAAGAGGCAGAATGCTCAATAAACTTATATTCAATATTACACCATAAGGAGCACATACGTATAGGAGCTTCTCTTCTAGCCCAGGTCCAAAATACATTAGAAAATTTGATGCATTTAAGTGAACAGACAGGGTTAAATAATATGCACCCTGAAACTCTCCCATCTCTTAAAAGACTAAATGAGAAAGAAAACATAGCTCACTCCACTTAAGAAGGCTAGCAAAGACAGCAACAAATACAACAGCATATACCATGTACTAGTGACTGTTTTAAGCTATTTACATCTATTCCTTTTTTTATTTTTAAAAAAAATTTTAATGTTTTTATTTATTTTTGAGACAGAGGGAGACAGAGCATGAGTGGGGAGGGACAGAGAGGGAGACACAGAATCCGAAGCAGGCTCCAGTCTCTGAGCTGTCAGCACAGAGCCCGACGCGGGCCTCGAACTCACAGACTGTGAGATCATGACCTGAGCTGAAGTCGGACGCTTAACCGACTGAGCTTAACCCAGGCGCCCCATATGTTAACTTTTTTAATCTTCACAATTATACTATTATAATCCCCATCATAAATCATGATATGAAGATACTAAATTATGTGCCCGACTCGTAAGTGGAAGAGTCAGGATTCAAACCGTGTCTGGCTCCCGAGTCCGTGTTTTTAGCTACCGCTCACACTACTTCTCCCGTATTCCTTTTCTCGTTGCCTCTTCCTGTCTCATGTCTCCATCCTTATCTCTATGTTCCTCTTTTCATCTCCCTCCTTCCCATTTTAAAATTTAAGCTAGTGTCGGGGGGGGGGGTGGGTAATCAACTATAAACAAGTATAATATAGTAAGTACTATAATAGAGGTAGGAATATAAAGTATTACTGGAACACAAAGAAGAAATATTACCTGGGGGAAGTCACAAATGCTACAGAAAGGAGATAACACTTGAGCAGGGTATGAAAGATTAATAAAACTCTATCAAACAGTGAAAGGGCAGATGAAACAGCATGGTAAAAGACACAAAACAATGTGCATAGCATTCTATAAGCACCCATGGGCAACAGTCGTGTGTTTCATTTGCTTCCGTGTTCTCAAAGCACCTGGCACAATGCCACATACCTGACATTATATAAACATTTGCAAGTGACTGAATGAATAGATGTGTGTTCAGGAAAGATCAAGAATATGCCAGAAGAGCTCAGACTGGAGATAAAGGCAAGATCCAAAATGTCAAAGAAGCTTGAATGCCATCGTAAAGATTTTGCATTTGTAGAACTACATCGCTTAAAACAACTGAAACACTGGATTATATGGTAGGGAGTGATTGGTGGCAAAACATGAGGAGTTCTTTTTTTTTTTTCAATTTTTATTAAAAATATTTTTCTTTAATTTTTTTACTATGTTCTTCACATTTAAAAACATGAGGAGTTCTTAAGTGAAGAAGTAACAGTGGTGACAGAGTTCTGGTTCTTGTTCAGGGAAAAGTGATAGTAACCTAATCGATTAGATGTAGAAGATGAAAATGAAGTTGAGAATAATTCTAAAGTTTCTCCCTTGTGTGGATGAGTTAATAGTTACACCACTGACCAAAATGAAAAAATATAAAAGGAAAGGGATACAGTTTAGGGCACGGGGGTAAGAGGGACTTAGAAAGAGAGAGATGGATAACTAGGTTAGTTTTTGACATGTGACATTACAAATGTCAGCAGAAAATTTCAGTGTGGATGCCTAGTAAGGAAAGAGAAGTATGCGTATAGTACTCTGGTGAAGGTTGAGTTAGTTATAAAAGACTTAGGTGTTTTCCCCTTTTTGCTCATCCTATTCCAAGTGAAAGATTTCCCTGGCTAAATACAATGCCAAACTGGCATTGGTAATGGTAAATCTTCATTAAGATTTTAGAAAAATACATACTGTGACTTTCCCCACTAGAAAAAAGATAAAGACCCTACTGTAAATATAATACTGACACAACTCCTTTTATATTGCCCCACAAAATGTCCATTGCCCACTGAAAATATTTTAGGTCCTTAAACTTTAAAAACAGTAATATGGCTGTAGACAAGAGAAAAAAATTTCTAATAGAAATACTAAAAAACTTCATCCTGATCTCAGGATTAAAATAATATTATTTCAAATGACATGATACTATAAGTTGGCCAGTAAGAGTTCTAAGCATAAAAACATTTGACAAATCCTACTTGTACATAAAACTGCAATAGAAAATACCCTAAAATCGGGGTGCCTGGGTGGCTCAGTTGGTTAAGTGTCCGACTTCGGCTCAGGTCATGATCGCGCACAGCTCGTGGGTTTGAGTCCCGCATCGGGCTCTGCACTGACAGCTCAGAGTCCGAAGCCTGTTTCGGATTCTGTGTCTCCCTCTCTCTGCCCCTCCCCCACTTGCACTCTGTCTCCCTCGCTCAAAAATAAACATTAAAAAAAAAAAAAAGAAAATACACTAAAATTAAAGATATGAATTCTATACACCATCAAAAAAACTAAACAAAGTTACACTTAGATCTCATTACTGTAAATATACATTTTCATTCAGTATAAGAATTTACCCCTAAAATCTTATTTATATTATCTGCTTATAAAGCCATTCTGCATAAGTATTTCTAGGATTATGGTTAAATTATCTATATATAAACCTACTCTTTTCCAAAATTCTAGATTAGCTGTTGCAAGTAAGTAAATGCTATTGCAAAATGCATACTATCTTTTAAGGACATTCAAAATCTAACAGCAAACAGATAATTAGTATATACATTTGAAGAATTTAATTTGCTGAATCAAATTTAATTTCAGCTAATCAATAACTCAAAATTCACTAATGCATTACTTTCCCATAATCCAAATTTGTAAAATTTACATGTGATGAACAATAAAATTAGCAACATCAAATATTTAAAAGTGCTTATTGTTTGCTAAGGGCTGCTTTTTAAAAAATTTTTATTTAGGGGCGCCTGGGTGGCTCAGTCGGTTGAGCGTCCGACTTCGGCTCAGGTCATGATCTCACAGCTGCATTGAGTTCGAGGCAGCCCAGCGATAAGACTCTGTGCTGACAGCTCAGAGCCTGGAGCCTGCTTCTGCTTCTGTGTCTCCCTCTCTCTCTGCCCCTAACCCCCTCGCATTCTGTCTTTGTCAAAAATAAATAAACATTAAAAAAAAATTAAAAAATTTTTTATTTAAATTCCAGTTAGTTAACATACACTGTAATATTAGTTTCAGG